GCAACCTCACGCACGCACTCCCGCACACCACGCGCGGCGCACACCACAGATACACGGGAGAGAGAGTGAGAGGGGGAGGGGGAGAGGGAGAGGGAGAGAGAAAGAGAGAGAGAGAGAGAGAGCACGCGCGCGCGCGAGCGAGCGAGCGAGTGAACGAGCGAGCAGAGCGAATGCCCGTCGCGAAGATATACCTTGACAGAGCGTGCGAGGAACCAGAGCGAAAGAACACGCCTTGCCCACCCACTCGCGATACTCACGCACGAATATATGCGATATCACGCACACAATTCCCGCAAGACTAGCCTCTCGCTGTCTTGAGAACGAACAAGCGCAGCTGAAACTTCGATAAGCTTCGATGACGATAACGACGACAATGACGTTTAAACGCGCTTCGTCTCGTATTCTATCTAACCACCTCTCTCTTTCACACTCGCTCTCGCCTCTCCACGTCGCCTCACGTAGGCCTTCGTCTGCAAATCAAGTCGCAGACATTACGATATTTACGACCACCTCTCGTCGAGCACACTCGCGGATATCAATGGGACATTTAAGTACGTCATACGATCATTCGATACCGAGAGAGGTCCAGATACTTCAGATTAATACCAAATAGACGGCTCTCCTCGCAAAGCAACAAACGGTAGTACCACCACTGCACAGTGTTACCAATTCCTATCAACAAAACAGAAGAAACTAAAGCCCGTATCATAAGGTCTATTCGCATTGCATGAAATCTCCAAATATTTTTGCACTTAAAATGAGATAGATATATATTTGGTTTTGAAAAGAGAGAAAGCGAAGATGCCGAGTGCAAAAAGTGCGAGCAACGCGAACAGGAGGTCGATTGTGTATCTTGAAATGAGGTAAAAATTACAAAAGTGAACAAATTCACTAGAACATTCATAATTTAATTGGTCAATACTAGTAATCATTGCTCATTTTTGTAATTTTCACTTCATTTCAAAATACACTCAAACTCCAGGGGGTCGATTGTGGATTTTTAAAGGAGATGAAAAGTGAGCAAAGGATGACCAATAAAAGAATCAGTATTCTAATAAATTCGCTCACTTTTATAATTTTGCACCTCATTTTAAGATACAGAATCGGTCCCTAAATCTGAGGGTCGATTATGTACCTTCAAATGAGATGAAAATTACAAAAGTGAGCAAATTCACTAGAGTATTCATAATTTAATTAGTCAATACCTAGTAAATTTACTCGCTTTTGTAATTTGTTTGAAAATACAGAATCAACCTCCTATGCTGGAGTCATACTGAATCCGATGTGCGTACGCTCTGCAATCAATCAGAAAACAGGATTTTGCTTCATATCATCGATACAAAAAATAAAATTCTGTTTTCTGATTATTGTGAGTCCAACGCTATTGTAAGAATCATGGGCTACGGTTCACTTGATGCTACCAGGGTTGCATACGAATTCTCACCTGGGTACTCCCGGATGTCATATCATTTTGTTGTTTACCGAACTAGGCTGAAGTAAATAAATAACTAAAATCTATCAAATTAGTTTCAGATTTCTCTCTGCCAGTATTTATAGTCAGATCTGATATTTGAGATCGTCTTGAGTACAGTCTTAAGGTGTCATCCAATCAGAACCAATCAGAAAGCCGTATTAGCATCTCAGGACATTACTTAAGATGGTGTTAGATTTGTTCGTTTCAGACTTCTTAAAGACTGTGCTCCAAAATTCACTGCTAGTGCTGAAAATATATAGTATACGCATAGATTTATAAGATAGACGGAGCATTCATACGAGAGAAGCTGAAGACTTGATAGAAAGAAAAAGAAATAATCACGGAGTAGTTCTCTTCTTTTCTATTAATGAATTGATTGGTCGCCGCGGCAGGATTCGCAAGGTCACACGCAGCGCCTTAAACCGGTTCTACATTAGTTGCAAGCTGATCGCAAGTTTGTTGCGACAGTCAATATGAAGCGTTGATTTCAAAATGCAAGCTTCAGATTGGCTGTCGCAACAAACTTGCGATTGACTTGCAACTAATGTAGAATCGGCTTTAGTGATACATAAACTGCACTCACTGCACCCATAACTAAGAAAGTCAATCAGCTATTTGCCACACGTAAATACAAGTTATGTTATACGGACTTACAGATATGTATAAATCCATTTGTTTAACTCGTTGAATACGTCCATTGGCTACATTCAACAGACTTAAGAGCAGTTGAGTGAGTGTTCGCCGCTACTGATGTATTTTTCTAGATCTAAAATTCTGATTGAATGATGATCTACAGGAATACACCAACAACGTATGCTCACTCACTGTTGAATCCGCTGAATGCTCCCCGAATGATGTTGAAAAAAACTTTTTAAAGCTTGAAATATCATTTTTCAAATACATCAAATTCCATAACTCTGCACCGATTTCACTATAAACTATACTACTTTAAAGTGAATCTTGAGGAATAGAAAAAAAAATTATTTCAACTTTAATGACATGTACAAATAAATTATAGCCATATTCCGATATATATATATATATATATATATATATATATAGATTATAAATTATAGTTTTTATGTTACGTGCGCTATAGATTTTGAGCATCGTCAATGAATATCGGAATGTATCCTACAGATTATATTACATACATACATATGTGTGTGTGTGTGTGTATGTAATATAAATATGTAGGATACATTCCGATATTCATTGCCAATGCTGAAAATCTATAGCGCACGTAACATAAACTGTATAGTTTCAGCACTGGCAATGAATATCGGAACATATTCATAGTATATATTACGTTAACTATGGAATTTCACTAAGGTACATCGACCTTTATGTAACAATAAGAACATTAATAAACTTTTTGATAATTGAATCCCTATTCTTATCACAGCTAAAACATACCATGTAAAGGAAAGATTATCTTCTCCTTCAGCATTTAATATACATTTCAAAATCAATAGTTCATGCGTGTTACAAAGTATATTGGAATCAATTGCTTAAGCTACAGATCTCGTTTACAATATAATTGTAAAAATTCACATTTTAATCACATGCATTTGTGTATGTGTATGTAAAGACTATAGAGATTTATTTTTACGAAAGCGTACATATTTACAAATGCTTTGCATAAATGTTGCTGCACATAGAAATTACAAGATGCTTCGTTTCACTATATTGAAGACGAAATAGAGCACTTTTTCTTTTAATAAATGAAAATCGTGTATTCTGTCATAATACACATAACTAAACGCACAGCATAAATAATATATGTATAAATTATAAATAAATAAGTTCTAAAAATGATTTAAAATTTTTGACCTTTGATTTGAAAAGACATTATTTACATTTTTTAAAAGAATCTTGAAATGTACTAACTTTCTTTTTACTTTTGTCATATCATACAGTCTTTGCAGAATTCATGTTTTCTAATTGTAAATATATTAACATAATCATGTATATATCTATCAAAACAAAGTTACATTAAATCCATTAAAGCAAAAACAAATTGAAACGGTTTTTGCACTATATCATGGTCTTAAATGATTAGAAATATCTAATGACTCCCTAAAATAATGATAGAAATTATGAATTACTATTCGAAACAGTTACGAATTATGCTGCGATACATTTTGTTATCGTGCCGAGTGTGCCATCATTTCGTATTATAATAAAATTATTCGATATATAACGTTTTCGAAAGCTTCTTTAAATTAAATTCAAAATGTTTTACGATGAATAGCCCGTATACCATCTTCATCGAATTCTCTTTTGCTCACCCACATCTTCTTGAAGGTGTCTAAAGAAGCCAAAATAGAACCTCCGATCCAAGTACTATACAATCGTTCCTGAGGCGCTGATATCTGTTGTAACAGAAATAAATTCATAATTTTATCTGTGAAAATTGTTTACTTATTATTTAGTTTGTCTTATTTTCATACTTACCCTTATTTTAATGTCTTTTGGCGACATCCTACGAATCTCTGATAATAATCTATCACCGAAACCCTAAATAGTAAATACGAGATATTATATTATTGTTATATTACTGCTATAATATTTTGTATAACATAAAGATAAGAATACAAAAAATTTATTCTTCTAAATTCTTTCTTGATTTTATATATACTGATTTTTGTGCTTACGCGGAATAATGTCGATCCTCCTGATAATACGATATTTTGGAATAGAACTTTTCTCAAATCCAAATCGGACTTTTGAATAGAATACGTTAATACTTCATGAAGGCCTTCACATTCTTCACCTATTAAATCTGGTCTAAACAGCACTTCAGGGGCTCTAAATCGTGCCGGACCGATCTGTATTGAATGAAATGTAGTATACATAAGAACAGTTTAAACTTGCTATTTCAAAGTTATGTATGACTAATTCTTGTTTCCATTAATGTAGATTAACTGTAATCTGAACTCGAACGCGAGTATAGTATAGCAGACAGCGCACTGGTCTATCATGTCAGAGGTCTCAAGTTCGATCCCAGTAGGAACCAAAATATTTACGTTCGTGTCTCCTCTCGGAAAAGCCCGGCAACCTCCCGAGAGTATCCTTGCCTATAGAAATTCTTTTCGAAAAATCCGTCGTTCGGAACCGGCAAAACTGTGCAATTGAATAATCAGTGTGCGCATCACAAGCATATGAGAAAAGTGTAAAAGACTGTGCTCAATATTCTTAAAGTTTTGCGAGCATATGTCACGCATTATGTAGGATAAAAGAGCCAAATTTAAAATTACATCTACTGTCCCATTGCCCACTTGATTAAATTAGTGTATATATTAATATTTCAAACAATGAGAAGATAAATGTAGTTTTAAATTTAGCTCTTTTACCCTACATAATGCGTAACAGATGCTCGCAGTACTTTAAGAATATTGCGCATAGTAAAATATGAATAAGCATCAAACAGACTATGTACAAGATTGAATTATTGGAATTGAATCTATTATGGATCCATATGTAATTCAACATCATATATTATTCATTGACTCATTTCCAATATGCCGGTAATTATAAACATTATTGTGTACAATATTCTTAAAGTACTGTGAGCATCATGTACAGGATAAAAGCATAAAGGAGCTAAAATTATATCTATACTGTCCCTTTGCCCACTAGATAATATATTAATGTATATAATACATTATCGAATTTATTTTTTGCTTTAAGTAGAACTCATCTATGATTCTAAAAACTAGAAAAATATTAGAAGATTAAATTGAATCAAAGTTCAAGTTAATTTACATTGATGGAAACGGGCATAATACTTTTGTTAATTATTGCTAATTCATGTTATTTTATTACCTCCAAATGACTACCGTCAGGTAAAACATACTGAAACTTCTCGGTCTCTATTGTTTCTTCTTTTTGGGGATTGCTGGCGAGGTAACATGCTCGCTCTTTAATTATTCTGACAATTTCAAATTCTGCAGTGGTCTTGAAATTAATACCTTCCTTGCGTAAAAGTAACCTAAGATGCCTTGTAACGTCACGCCCTGCTATATCAACTCGCATTATACTATGAGGCATAGCAAAACCTTCATAAATAGGTACAGCATGCGTAACACCATCGCCAGCATCTAGAACTACTCCTGTGGTTCTGCCTGTTGCATATCTGTATTAATAAAAAACAAAAATAATTATCATACAATCTTTTAATCAAAAACAACATTTCAAAATTTTTATTTCAGAAGTCAAAAGTTGTAAATCATTTTAACATGATTATTATAAAATTACTCACAAGCTAAGTACAGCTTGCATGGAAACAAATAAAGCTGGAACATTAAATGTTTCGAAAAATATCTCGGCTGCCTTCTCGCGATTCTTCCTGGGGTTTAAAGGTGCTTCTGTAAGCAAGACTGGATGCTCTTCACTAAACGTAGCTAACTGGTCTTTACTATAAACGTAAGACCAGATACGCTCCATATCGTTCCAATCTGTGACCACACCATGTTCCATTGGATACCGAAGAGATAGAAGGCCACGATGTTCCTCTGCTATTGGACCCACAAACAGATCTCCCTCCAAAGCACCAGCCATAACACGAACATGTTTTGGCCTCCCAATGCTAAAAATAAGAATCATGTATTAATTTTTTTTATCAATCAATAATGTCAGTATTGCACATCAATACATAAACTAAAAATTTTAATTTATTTAAAAAATCTTATATCATACAATGTTTTGATATGTTACCTATGATATTATTATCTATGATGTGTTATATTATCTATGATGTTATATTGATATATTAGCTATGCAATGGATACTCATTAAAAAATAATAAAATAGAAAAACAATTTTTAAACTCAGCTAAATCATTTAGGGCCTAATATGTTTTTGAGCTCCGGAACTAAAATGCATAGCCATCAATGCAAAAAAAATCAATATAAATAAGATTTTGAAAACTGTAAAATATTGACTACGTTTATACCATGCATTTAAGCCATAGCCTATATAATAAGTATTCTTGTTTACTCTGTAGATTAAATGAAGACACCTATCATATAGGTCACTAAACATACAATGTAAACGTAGCCATAGATACATATTTGAGCAACACTTATCAATACTTTACAGTTCATGAAATCTTACATTGAATTTTTTTGCATTGATAATTTTGCATTTTGGTTCCAAAGTTCAAATTGAACAAATCTAACATATTGTCACCTATCAACAACCTTCAAAAATAGGAGATACTGTCACGAATATTAATAACTCTGCTACTTACTAATTTGGAAATCTGCATTTAGGTATCTGGTCACCTGCAAACCCCGCCTTAATCACGCCAGATCCCTAAATAGAAAAAAATCAGATGACAACGCTGCCGATTCTAAACCGAGGAAAGAATTGATATCACATTAACATCATCATCGTCATTATTATCGAACAGATTGCCGACGATATAATTTTTGACGATGTTTTCGTTTGTGAACAGGAATCAAGATATAAATAAAAATGAAAATGTAAACGGTAATACGAATACAAAAAAAAACATTTATGTTCTTTTAAATTATACGTCCTGATAAAACGTTGACAACCGACATTAAAGTTTGACGCATCGCTCGCTTTCTAAATAGGGAAAGGCTGGATAGCAAGTACTTACATTATCGATAACCACCGGCTGATTGACGATCACATCGTACGGCTCCATAATACGCAATTGGAATGTCTACGCGACTTTATTTCGGTCAAAAACCCACAACTCACGATCGTAACCCCAACAGGCACACACCTATCTTTCTAGCGAGGCGTCTGAACAATCCGAACTCTGAAGGGAGTCATCAACGATGACAGCGATCCTGCGATACGATACGAGAATCGTTTCTCGAAATATATCGCAAGCAGGAGTGCCAACTATTGGTCTGCTTTTCAGCATTTTTCAATGGGAAAAGATGAATGGTCGCATTCAGTAGAATGATTTTTTTTTGTTGAAAGTTTTCTCTCTTCACTGAAGAATTACTCTTTTAAATTTAAAAGTATAATCCACAATCAGTGCGAAGAACTTCCAACAGTTCAAAATATCAATAACAATAAACAATAAACATTCTACTGGAAACTGAAACAGCTGAAACGCAACCAGGTTTGTTCAAAAGTTATTCCTATATATATTGCAATTTTCTCAATAATCTTAGCCATAATTTAGACATTTCTTTGTATTTTCCTCCCAAAAAGTACCCCAAAAATTCTCCTAAACTTCTTGTATCCCCAAAAATTTCCTCGGTGAAAAGAAAAAAATCCTGTTCTGAATTAGATTTTGTCTTTCTGTAAAAAAATTTGTTTAAAAAATTTTAGAAAAAACAATACACATGATCATTATTTTCTCTTAAAATAAGGTTTTCTTTAATCATTTATATTTTCCAAAATTAAAAAAGAATAGAAGACGACTGTGATTGGTCAATTTTTAGTTTCTGACTTCTGATTTATGATTAATGGCTTATTGTAGAAGGCCCACAAATAGAAGACTCAAGAATTATTAGGCTCTTTTTAAGATAAATGGATGAAATTCAGGATTATATATAGGATTATATAATTACTTCATGACATAAATTACTTTCATTACATAAATGACAAAATTAATTTCTAAAAATATAAAGTTCGACATGAATGCGAAAGAAGAGATACATTCATTCTTGGTCTCAATGTGTAAATACCATTTTATTATAGTACACATATACAGCTTAAACTTTTATTTCGAAAATTATTTAGAAAATGATGGCTAGATTAATAAGAGCTTTTTACACAAAAATAAGTGTCATGCTCCGAATTATGCTACACTAATAAGATATAGCGCTTCCTCAAAAAGAGCTTAAGATTAAAATATACCAGTTTTCATGGTAAATCACAGCCAAGATTTTAATCTAGCTTCTTTTCTCTTGATAATTGTACAGTATTATTCCCTTCCCCTCCCCTCCCTCCTACACACACACATACATATATTATATCATTTTACAAAACATACATGTTATGTATATACAAAATTCATGATATTAACAAAATAAAACTCGAATTTACTCAAGTGTGAGAATAAATAATTTGTTTTCATCTAAAATACATCTAAAATATATTTTCAATAAGAATATAGAACATTCCAAATAAATCACTGTGCCAAAAAGTATGTATATATGACATTAATACAAAATTTATGATTATATATTATAATATTAAAATGTTATCTTATTTAGAGTACTTATAAAAACATTATAAGTAGCGCTTTTATTAGACGAGATACAATTATCTAGAATTCAGACTTAATTATCAAGAACATCAGGCCATCAAGATATCAAAGAACATCACATATTATATATATCTTTCCGATTAATGTAAATGGTATATACGAGTGTATCATATATCTATACATATAGTTTGACATTTTTACAAATGGTTTTCTTTCAGACAATCCAATGATTCCCATATAACATGATATAAAAAACAAAAATAATACACACATAATGTAATAACAAAATAATATAATTTTTTCTATCCTAAATGCAAAATGCTATTCAGTAGCAATAAATCCATGTGATAACTCTGAATGAACACTTTTGATTTCACTTTTATGAAATAATTTTGAATGAATAATTTTGAATCAAAGTCAATATTGTAAGAAATATGCGACAATATGAAAAAAATATCAGGGCGCTCCAGGATTCGAATCGAGACCTGGGCCGGCTGGGCCCTATTTTTGAAAAGTATCGCATACGAAAAAGGGGAAATATTATAGTATGCGTTACATATACTATAGCATTTCCCTAGTTTTTCGTATGCGATACTTTTCAAGAATAGAGGCTCTGATCTCCTTCATATTGATAGACTTCCGTTCTGTCACATGGCCCTGACACTGATAGCTTCTTTGTTGTGCTATTTCCCTTAAATTTCTTACAATATATTGTTGAGCCCTGTTGAACGGGAAAAGCGCAACACTATATACATTAACGTGACATTTAATATATTTCTGCCATAAGTAGTACTACCAAAGAAGTCCAGCCAGTGAAAGGGTGACTTCCTTTACCCTTTCCTTCCGTACTATCATACTGCTCCCACAAATACCCAGATTTTCTATATTGCATAATAATATTCTGTATCAAATTCTTTCGCAACTCTTGGTATAGTCTTTTTGCGCTCTCCTGGTACGGTCCCGTCACGTTAGAATAATAATATGCTGCTCGTACTGTCAAATAATTCAAATTTATCCAGATAGGACCGCGCCAGTAAGGCGCGTCGTGTTCTGTATTATATTTCATGTATAAAGGTGATGTTTTCGCGAGCGAACGCAGTCCGTACTTCGTCCATAGCAAATCAGGATCCCGTAGATCCTGCAGTATCTTTCCCAGTTGAGGCGAATCAGGCTCAACAATCTGCAGAATAAAAGGGAATAACGATACATATCCAAAGGTTGTGTCGACAAACTTCAATGATGGATTTTCCAGTACGATGCGTTTCATTTCTGATGTCATTTGCATATTAGCAGATTGCTGCTTGCGAGATGGCGGTGACGCAATCTTCCGTAGAATCACCTTGTCAGTATGCAAACCGTAATCGGAATATGCTTGCGCATTCGGCGACCAATGTAGCTTGTTCAACAAGTTATTATCGGATAGATACTGGAATGTTTCTTGATACTTTGTAGCAGGATAACTCAATGTTTCGGCGATTCTAGCCATAACGCGAGCAGCAAATGCGATCCAGCAACGTAAATCGACGTGACGTTCGACGACACTCGGATGGGAAGCTCTGGGGTAATCATCTAAGCCGGATGTGAGCGTTTTAGGATTCAGTTCTTTAATAGTCTTTTCGTCTCTGCCTCGCCATCTGTATGTACTGGGTAGCTCACCGACTTGCGTGGTATTGAACCACGAGAACCATTTCTGCAACCGTGGATACAGTTTGTCGAGCAATTGATAATTATGTTTCAGTAAGTCCTGCTCTTTATGCTGAAGCAAAAAATCTAGCGTCAAGAAAAATGTAGGCGGATTCGCATTTGTGTTGATCTGAGTTATGAACTCCTCGGGAACTTTAGCCACAGCTTCTTGGCCGAGAATCATCTCTCTTGGTATCCAACCCTCAACGTTCATCAGATCAAACCAATGGCTTATAATATCTAATTCTATCTCCATGTCCCAGGCAGAGATCAATAAACCGTGAAAACCTTCGTCCCACAAAAAACCTCTTGGGAAAAAACTTCTGCTTGGTACGGCAGTATACAAAGGTGCTTTCCAATAAGGCACAGGTTCCTGAGTATAGATACTTTGCACCTGTGAAGCTCCATAAAAGTAACCTATCGAGCCTATAAGATTTGAAAAGGCCATCTTCGCAAACGCCACTTCATCGTCCGTATATCCCTTAGACTTCAGCTTGAAAATATTTTCAAATTTCTTTGAGAACAGTTCTCTGTGATCCTTGAGAGCCTCGTCATAATTATTTCCTGTTAATTTAACATCCATCCTATTGCTGAAACTACCAGATTCATAACTAACTTCGATCTCAAAAGGAATTTTTCCCGTCACTTGAGTTACAACAAAATTCGGATCCTTTTTCTTGCCTTCGGGAAGCAAAGGCAATTGTTCACCTGCTAAAACTACATGTTTCTCCATGGATCCCTTCTGGGTCGCAATGCGGAGACTTTGAAAAACCGTTTCTTTCAACACGTTTAGACCAGGAGCGACCGTCGCTAGAAAGGAATGCTCTTCTATAGTGCCATTTATTAAATTCACATTTATGATAAAAGATCCCAATCCCCGTGTATTTCCTTCTATTCCTGTCAAGCGATTGTAATCTCCTAGATTAGCCTTTATCCAACCCTTCGTGCCTTCCTCAATAGCGGTATAAAATAACAATGACATCTCTTCGCCAATATGTTCTTCCTTTTTTGATGACACCGCAATTCTTGCGGTCCAATCACCACCGTGATATCCGCCAGGCTTTTTGACGAATGTTGTTCTTATGACTGCAGGATTATCTACTATTTCCTGAACTCCAAATGTTCGTCCGTCGTGTTCTAGCCATGCATATCTAACATTTAAACTTTCATTAATTACATTGATAAATTCTTTATCTGACTGAAAGAGACTTTGACTATACAGTACCTGTCTAGTTCATCACCTTGTTCGCACAAGTGTCTAAATCCAGTTCCATCATGACGTAAGAAACGTGGAAAATACCACATTAAACCAGTCACCAAGGAATGCGGGTCTCTTGTTTTTAAACCAAAATATACTCCGGATCGATAGGTACCCCAATATCTGTCCGGAGAATCCAATCCAGATGCAGTAACTAACTAATTTTTAAAAAAATATTCGAATTGATTATAAATAAAAATTACAAATCTGCAAATATTTGATCATATATGTATAGAGAATATATATATATATATATATATATATATATAATGTGTGTGTGTGTGTGTGTGTGTGTATATATATATATATAAGAATAGATCACTAAATCTCTCAAGTTAATCTCTGCAATTAAATTTTGAAAAACTTTTTTATAAATAACACACTGAAATAATAAGATATATATCTCCTGCAATTTTGGAAACTATTCTCTAACATTATTTGATATTTTACATCCTGTGTCACATATTATTGATAGTTCTGTATCTATAATAAATCTATGTTTCTATCAATGTAAATTAAGTTTAATCTTGGTTTAATTAATCTTACTTTTCATCTTTTTCTAATTCTAAGGAAATTAAAAGAAATTAGAAGAAATTAAAAAATTAGAAAAGGATAAGAAATAAATTAAACCAAGATTGAATCTACGTTGGTAGAAATAAACATTAAAATTTACATTTATAAGATATTGACACATTATAATTATACATTTATAAGACCTGTTCTTTTTTCATATTCCAGGATTAAACTTCTTACATGATTTATCTTTTGTCTTTTTCTCTCAAATGTAAAAAGAAAAAGAAGAAAAATGAATCGCGTAAGAAGTTCAATTCTGAGATATGGAAAAAGAACAAGCCTCTTAAAAGTATGTAACATTCCATCACAGCACTTCCTTCAACAATGTCCTAAAGACATTCAAAAGTTGTTGAATATACTACATTTCCACGATGTCTATCAGATAAAATGTGCTGTGTGAGATTATTTGATGATAGATTGTACATGCCCTTTTTCCATTATATGGAGTATTAACTCTCGTTTCGCGGTATCCTTTGTATCCGATCCAAACAGCAATTGCCAGACTCACAATGATGATAACATTGATTGGCTTAATTGGCAATTGCATTCTCTTGCTCGTCTTAGGTTTATTTTTTATTTTTGTGACTTTCTCTTGTGCTTTGCTCTTCACCATTCTAAAAGTATTCTGAAATAAAGAAGTCAAGAAATAGAATTCTTATTATATAGAACAAACTGGTATAATATATATATTTTATAAAAAAATTTAAAACAAAAATACCTATATCTTATTGAAATATTATAACAAATATATATATATATATATATCACACGATATGAAATATTTATGAAAATTATTTTTTAAAATATTTCAGTAAAATATTTCAGAAATATTGTATAAATACATTATAAGAAAAAGAATAGAAATTTCAAAATCTCAAATTTCCCGGACAAATTTATATTTCAGAAAGGTGTTATAAAAAATTTTTAAAATATTTCAAATTTTATATTGAACTATTTCTGAAATATTTCATACTGTGTGAGTATACTGTTTTCACATTCACGAAATCAATAATACAGTCGATCAAAAAAATTTAATTTCCTTTTATCTAATCGACAATTGTTTTTTTAAATATTTTTTCCAATCACCAGTGAAACGTAATTTTATTTTTACCGGAAATACGTATACTCAGCTGTACACATATTTCCTAATGTATCCGATGTCATCTATTCGACGTATTTCCTAACCTATCCGATGTTACCGAGCAACAAAATTTAATTAGCAAATATATTGAAACTATTTAACATATACGTTAAGATTTCGTGTAACACTACACAAAGAAAAGATTAATGAAAAAATTCACCGAGCTAGACATCAACAGAATCTTCCGAGCAAAAGATGACATAAAAGATTCATCGATCGCGGAATTGAAACAAGTCACAATCTAAACTATCGACTGCTAGGCTGACTGAGAACGTATTTGAGATGTATTACGTACCTTGCGTAATGAAATAAAGCATAGAAGGTAATCTCTCTTTCACTCTAGTCTCTAAAATTCGTCAAAATCACCGTGCTCCTTTTGACATACGGCACACCGGCTTAGTTAGGTTATCTCCTGTCGACTGCTTGTCGCTTGTAAAAATCAAGAACTTCACATAACCTCATGCAAGTAAAAACTTTCAACAACATGAGCATTTCTCCAGATTTGTCAGCTTTCGCGACTTTACGACGATGTCGTCATTGATATCATGTCCAATTGTGTCTCAAATTGACAAGATAAGACGCGAAGCATCACATTATTTAACATTATTTAAAAACTGTGTTTTCTCTCTCAAATTAATCTACAATTCGTTTCTCGAGTGTAGGTAAAATCAACAGTGCCAAATTTGGATATGTAGGCTAGTTGTCAGAGATGAAAATGGCGGCGAAAAAGGAAGAAATTATTTACAGATATTTTATTGTTTTAATCGACAGTTTGAAGTAAAAAAAGGCTCAATTTAAAAGTGCTACAACATTAAGGCACTTGGAAGTAATTAAGGAATAAAGTTTTTCTTTTGGTTTTTCGATTAAAACTCAAGAACGAAAAAAGATATTGAAAAATGACAAGAGAGCTTTTTTTTACTACTGAAATTTCCTTTAAATTGTTACTTATGCAGAGCTACAACCAAGGATTTCAATAACACAGATGAGATTCTGCAGAAAAAAGTTACTGAAACTAATTCACAATTTAGATTATCAACATTGCACTCAACAATAAATATAACAATTTTATATAACAGTTATATTTTTTAATTACTTGAGTGTAAAATTATGAAATTGATGTCATGCGTTAATGAGATTACTTAAAAAAATTTGTATTTATTGAGACTATTAAAAAAAATTCTTTATACTCCGATACATCTTAGATTCTGTTCCGATATACACTACCAGTACTGAAAATTTATACATAATAGATCACATTATATATACTATAGATTTTCAGTACTATATCGGAACACGATCATAATTAGTTTCAAATGTACTCTCGTCCTTTAAGTCAACAAAGTGCGTCGCTTAACAGTTTTTAATTTATTTATATATCCAATAGTTTGCGTATATTACAAATAAAGCACAGACTATTACACGGTAATCACATATTTAGGGAAGAGCACGTACATTACGTCGTTTACAATTGTTCGCTATTGTTTGATTAATATTCAGCGTGTCTTTCTTCCAATCGCCAGAGGGAAGTCAGGCGGAAACGGATATTTCCGAAGAGGGGAAACACGTATTGAAGAGATTGGAGATCCTTGTCATTTTCATTTCGTTTTCAAGTTGATCCTATGCAATCCTCTTCCTCTCGCCTGTTAGCTTCCACCTAGGTGCTTGGAATACCTTTTATGGATCAACAATAAATGTCCCATGAGGGAATCGTCGCCTTCGTGGTGCTCATGAGTTTTTCTCCTTCCCACATGCTCGAAGATGAGCCTGGATGAGCCGTCAAAGTCGCGTTATGTACAATGTCAGCAGAATTGCGAACTTATCCGGACAAGTTTCGCGATGTCACATCGTTAAAAAAAATCAAATGCTACTCAGAGAACACGTTTGCGAGTTATCTCGCGTTCCGCTTTTACGCTCTTACATGTCATATGTGTATACTCGATATAAGCCTTAATTGCTCGCTCACAATTACCATATATATATATATATATATATATGTATGTATAATATATATGTATATTCTTTTTTATTTTACTCCTTATATATATAAATACACATTTTTGTTTTCATGCGAATGTAGATGCTTCCTCAAATCGACGCATTCGCTGTTTGCATTAGAGTATCATTTTTCGTATATAAAAAGACAATGAAACTGCAGTCGGAGCCAGACCGATTCTGATGTTGGACGTGGAACTCAAGACGAAGAGAGAGAGAGAGAGAGAGAGAGAGAGAGAGAGAGAGAGAGAGTGAGAGTGAGAGTGAGAGTGAGAGAGAGTGTGGAAAAAATTAGGTCCTCGAGATCGTCGTTGTTGCGTGAAAGGCGTATAATGATGTCGTAAGTCAAGCTGGCCCTTTATTGCATGAAATCCAGCTGGAAATGATGGTGAATCAAATAAAAGACAGAGACTTCTTTATTTACATAGGAATGTGTCACGAGTACGAGTTATAAGATCCCATCGTACATCGGTGTGTCCTAGAATATAAGTTTCCTATTATTACACACATTATGCATATGTATATATACATGTATATAAATACGTATATATAGGCTGATTTGTCTATTGCTCTTCGAGAAAATTCCAATGTCTCCCCTGCTTGAGCATAGAATGAAAGGAAATCCCTCAGAAAATCGTACGTTTATCATATTACAATTATTGCTTGCTGAAGTAAAAGTGAAAGATAAATCTTAAATATAAAGATGTAAATTATATATAAGTGATAGTTGAGTTGGCGTGATTTTTCGCGATAATAGCTTGGATACATCAAGATATCACGATATAAAGACCGCTCATACATGTATATCACGTATATATGTGTATATACATATACACACACATATACACTTCTTTATTAAATAATATTATAATGTCAATGTATTTCTTATTATAGCATCATATTCAATCCTCTTATAGCAGTAATTTTGCAATTTCTTTTACTACGTCTTAGAGATTTTTTTCTGCATGTAATATATTCTTCCTCGAGATAAATGAATAATTAAAGAAATATATAATTTTTGTAACTAATAGTTGTGAAAAGTACGCAATACAGTAGCGATATATAACTTATATATACGTACATGTAATCTTGTCTAAAAGTATGAGTATTGCTGTACCTATAAGATTCCATCAAACCTACCGATCTACGTTTTATATTTTTCTTTGATTATTTTGGAGCCGATTCTCTAGAAAAAAATTAAATGATTCATGGATAAAAGGTAGGAATCTAAAACACCTGTAAATTATAATATCATAAATAATAATTTCGGAAAAGAAATGTATATTTATACATATGTACTAAAAGACGCTTCTTTATATAAGGAACGTAGTGACTATAATTAATTGAAAAATATAGAACTATAATTATCACTAGGATAATGTATTGAATATAATGATAATTATTTACTAGGAGCTTCACAAAATCTTGATTAGCATTGCCATCCTAATAAGCCATCAACTAAGCGTATAATTAAATGCTAATCTGCGTATACCGCTGTCTTTTTTGCTCATAACTTTGAAAACCTCGGTGATTTACAGTCATTTTGCGCTGTTGTCAGTTTACCAGATGGATTTACCGACTAATAATTTTTCGCCTTGAACATTTCGACGTAAAATGTACATATACTACGAAATCCAAACGTCAACAATACAATATAAATATAATTAACGTTCCTATTTAAAAAAAGTGCAACAGGCATCATAAATTATACATGCTTAATAAAACTTTAACAGCACTAATAATCTTTC